GACTTCCATTCATTCTAATGACAATCTTTCTTACTGATTTAGGTGTTACTGGAATATTTCTTGGATTTATAATAGCTGATACGATCATTCTCATCGCTGCTCTGGTTAAGTTTTTAAGTACGGATATTGGAGAAGAAATCGAGAAATCTCGTCAGCGTGTTTCCAAAACGACTCCCGATAGTTCTGAAAATGTCGCATCAAGGAGAGGGTTTGACAACCCAGTTTACAAGGCTGAAGGGGAGGAAGTCGGAGTAGGGACCGTATCTGCAACATGTAGCACTGAAAACGGTTTAAACAACAACCAGGATTTGTTTGATGAGGAATGTTCGTTTAAAGAGATGTCAGGAGACGCGAGATCAGCTGACGAAGGAGAAGATAGAGGAGAAGTTAAAGCTGTACTTATCGTGTTCTTGGTGTCAGGCGTAATTTGTGTTACTTTGGCTTGTGTTTCACTACTTCGGGGGAAAATTTGATGCTTACTGCAATATGATCAGCAAATTTCTAAATTGATTGGAGGTGATTCTTTTGTAGAAGTGATTCTTTTGTAGTTCGACCAATAAAATTTGAATTGAATTGTTTTAATAGATAAAATCACAATCATAATTTGCATGCCCTTCGGGGATGAATATTAACTTATTACAATTATATGCTGTATAATATATACTTTTTGAGTAAACATTGGCTGGTACTACGGACCAGTCCCCAATCAACCAATAGTATTATTGTGGCCCTTGTTTTTAAATGATGCTAGTAATTTCGTGAGTATCGCAGAAAAGCGAGATAATAACTGTTAACTGTCTGTGTTACCGTTATCAAATTTAACCAGAGTTTGTATTTATTTTTTGGAATCGAATTACTTGATCAGGTGCAAAAGTCATTATAATGACTTTTGCACCTGATCAAGTAATTCGATTCCAAAAAATGTGACTTTTTTGTATCATGGAACAGGTGATAAGTTCAAGCTGTTGCAAAATTGATCACAGTACTACGGTTAATAGGTGATGTTGTGAGGAGGACCGAGTAAGAAGAAGATAATATAACCAAGCAGCTTCTATAAATAATGTAAAGATAAGGGGCTACACAGAGTCACAGAGTTGTTTTCAACATTTTTATCGCAGTTTGCTGTTTCCGTTCTTAGAATGCAGCACCGCTTGCCAACAAAGGTCTTGGAATACCTCTCAAAAGAATGGGAATTTGTTAAACTCTCAGAGTCATTTTTTACAATAGTAGTCACGGTAATCGCACAATATAGTGACAACACTATAATAAAGTGACAAGCACTTTATAATGACAGCTGATCTTTGTCACCATATAGTGTGCAAAACGCACTATATAGTGACAGCACCATATAGTGACAAGTTTATCACATAACGATGCTCTTTGCTGGAAACATTAACCAGGCCCACCTAGATGGGGTAGGCCTTGCCAACACTATCTATAATGTTGTAGCCTCGTCCGTTTCCTCCGGCTATTCTTCTGTGTTTGACACGTACGGACCACAAGTTTACGGATCAGTTGAGAGTAACGAGCTGGGAACAGTGCTGGTAAAATGTTTATTACAAGGCGGACTAGTCCATCTGATAATCTTAGGACCGTATCTCAATCTAGTCTATGTTATTGATATGTTGCTCAATGAAGGTCTTTCTCCGACTCTAGGAAAAGGTGGTGAAGCTGATGAATCACTTTCAAACCTGTATGAACCAAGGTGTTTTGATCGCATTCGGGGAGCAAATTTTCATAGCCTGGTCTTGCATGCTATGGAGTCGGACTTCCATTTATTCTAATGACAATCTTCCTTACTGACTTAGGTGTCCTTGGGCTGTTTCTAGGTTGGGCAATATCTGATACAATCATTCTTATAGCTGCACTGGTTAATACTTCAAGCTTTCAAGGACGACAATCGCTAAAGAAATAGAGGTGACTCGTTTAAGAGTTGCTAAAACTACTCATAGTAGTACTGAAAAAGACGTATCAACTTACCAAGGACAGGGTTCGAAAACCTAGCTTATAAAGCGGAAGGGGAGGAAGTTGGAGTAGGGAACTTCAAGAACCGGTTCAGTACCTACTGAAAACGGTTCAAACAACATCCAGGATCTGTTAAATGAGGAACGTTCGTTTAGACAGAATATAATGTCAGGAGCTGATAAAGGAGAAGCTAGACGAGAAGTTAAAGCTGTACTTACCGTGTTCTTGGTGTCAGGCGTAATTTGTGTAACTTTAGCTGGCGTTTCATTACTTCGTGGCTAAATAAGGTACTCTGATTATTAAATGTCCAATAATTTGGCAATGTTTGTTTTGTAGTTTAAGCGTGACCCTTTTAACTTTTTAATAGATATATATTTTATCATTGCTGATAGATAATTTGCTAACATGCTAGTTTTATTGATTACCGGACTGGTTCATAGAGGAGAATGGGTTGTAACTACCAAACATTTTCATTTTCAGGATTCGGACGTGACTTGTAAGTCAGAAATTCAGACAAATAATTTACTGTACGCAACTTTACCATAATGCACATTTCTTATCTCATTCAGATAATCACAGGACTGATTTAATAAAAATTGGACCAATTCTTTCCGTTAAGAAGCTATGATGGCACGAGGCACAACAGTTATCGTACTTCTTTGTAATTTATTTTTCAATATTGACATAATCGAAAATTAAGGGGCCCATGGCAACTTGGCAAGTTTTAAGATAAGCGGTGTTAGTTTCATTTGAATGCGACTTAATTATTTAAGAGAACACTGTTAAATTGTGATGCATTAATTTTTATTTGCTTGCCATGGAGACTCGTCTACAGTTTAACTTTATAGACTTTGCTCAACTCCTATCAAAGCAGTGGGAATTCATGAAACTATCCGCATCGTTTCTCTCCATCGCTGTGATTTCTATTCTCATGCCTTTTACGACTGTTATTTTTGCTGGGAGCATTAACCAAGCTCATCTTGACGGCGTAGGCCTTGCAACCACAATGTTTAACGTCGTGGTGACTTCCATGTCTACAGGTTACTCCTCCGTATTCGATACTTACGGTCCGCAAGTTTATGGATCATCCAAGCGTAGTGAGCTGGGAATGGTGCTGTTGAAATGTTTGCTCCAAGGTGCCCTGGTTAATCTCGTCATTCTCGGACCTTACTTGAACCTCGTCTATGTCATTGACTTGTTACCAGATTCTGTGACGGACAATGACGCGGAAGGATTCCAAGACATTGCGGTACAATATTTGAGACTAATCTTGATGGTGGAATTTCTGGATTACACTGTGATGATGCTTACAAAATACTTTGCAATACAAGGACACTCTCGATTTGTGTACGTGATTTCTGTGATCATGATTGGCTCTTACCTCCTGGCAAACTATGTGTTGGTTACAGTTCTAGAGCTGGGTGTGAACGGACTAGGATTAGCAGCGATAATTGGTCGAATTATTCCCCTTTTAGTGTCTGTAACCATTTGCATCGTTAAGATACGAACTAAAGAATTTGTTTGGACTGGATTTGGTTTTAAAGCTCTGCTAGGGTGGAAACCGATGTTAAAACTTGGTGTGTCGGGAGCGTTGAATTGCTTTGCTGAACTAACACTGTATGAGATATCAACATTTTGCAGCCAGTTTGATGGAGCTGCCTCGTTTTCAGTGGTAATCATAACTACACAGCTTCTAAACTTTTGTTGGGCATTAAATGAAGGTATTGCCAGGACTGGGGCTACATTGATTGGGTCCGCTTTGGGGGACGGAAGTGCACATAATGTTAGGCAATTCATTTTGTTGACAGTAGTGAACACACTGCTTGAATGTGTTCCTTTAGCTATCACAAGCTTTTTTCTAAGAACTTACTTGGTGCAAGTATTCAACCCTGCTGAAGAAGTTGTCGAGTTGTTTGTGGATACGTTTTGGTTGGCGTGTATCAACATGGTTATCTACCATTTCCAAAACGGTTTAAATCAAGGTGTGCTCGTTGCATTTGGTGAACAGAAGTTCATAGCGTGGACCATGAGTATTGCTTGCTATGGGGTTGGATTACCTGTCGTCATCCTCTTGATATTCTTCACGGACTTGAAGGTGTTAGGAGTCATCGCTAGCTGGATGATCTCTGATTTGATCATAATAACCGCTGCATTATTCAAGATTTCGAAGATCGACATAAGTAAAGAAATAGAGAGGACGGCACTCAGAGTAGCAACTGATTCGTTAAAAGAAGCAGGTGAGGGTGCGACAATCAGTAATCCTGCTTACCATGTTGAAGATGAGAACCTGCATATTATAGACAGTGAAAGTGAGAGGGGTCAGGATATTGAAGATGGAACAGATGCGGGGATTACAGATGGCGTAGAGTTAGCAGGAAAGCTTAAATCAAACATACTAGGTTTTAATCAAGAGGTCAAAAATGTTCTTACTGCATTTTTAATTTCTGCCATTATGTGCGTGATTTTAGCTGGAATTTCTCTTCTTCGTCACTGACCCTCAAGATTTTTTTCACAGGGCTTTTAGTCTCCTGTTAAGAAGTTAACCGCGAAATCTTAGTTCCACCACCATGACCCTAATTTTATGTTAGATTGGATGAAATTATTTATTTATATACTTAAATTTACAGTTTTCGCTAAATAACGCTTGTTTCATTGCTTTAATACCTGTGCGTGCAGATTAAACCTCATCAAAGAAAACCTCCGGAGATATAACACGCTTCTAACATATAAAATCAGGAACTTGATAGATGATGGTTCACTCTGTGTTGTAGTATTGCAAGATCATCTTTAAGTACAGTTCTGGGTACGATCTTGTCAACCATTATCACTAAGTAAGTCATTGATCACGTCCCAACATGACATCACAAATTACATACATTATAATACTATGTCCGGAAGATTGTGTAAACTGAAATATTATAATAATGTAAACACCTCTAGAATAATCATCAGAACTCGATGTAACCTAATCAAGGAGTTGGTATCAGTAATTATTTAACCACAACAATATCTTGTGACATGTAATATTTTCTTACATTCCTAGAAGAATTTAACCCCCGCGTCCGAGTAATCTTCACTGTCTCCCAGCATAACCTCCGCCTTGCCTTCTTTTTCTAAGTAGCTTATCACATGGTGCAACAACCAAATATCTGAAAGAGTGGGTAATTACATAATGAATTAAATGATTGCAATGCAACAGTAAATCAAAAACAGGACACTATTTATTAAACACCCTGTAGCTGTATTTGACAGTAATTCTCAGATTATTGAAGACTGTAAATTAACGGAAAATATCACGGGTCCCGGGGTCCTTGTTTTCAAATCTACCCCAGTATCTGTATCTTACCCATAGAATGGAATGGTTCGCTTTCTGTATCATCTCCTCCATGTATTTCAAACAATGTAAGGACAGTGTTAGTCAGCCCCCTGTCGGTGGCCCAGTTATGAATTAGGCTGGCCCATTGGGACACTGAGTTCCATAACACGAAACACCGGTCCCCGTTCATCACGCCCTGGCCCTGAGAGGAGATGGTTAATTTGCTGGAGATCAGACTCATAGTAATTGTGAAGTAAGAGGTACGTTATAACATTTTACTCTAGATTTCTACAGAGTCCAAGTTAAAAAACAAAATGAAGAGATTGATCTGTAATATCCAGTGTGTTTTACTCTAAATGAGCAGAATTCCTCTAACCTCATCACATAGATTCTGGAAAACTACTCTGATAGCTGCAGGTGAGAGCTGCCTGCTGATCTTCTTGTTGTTAAATACTGCACTCGTTGTGTCTACTTCCCATATCCTGTGGGTGGGGCACGTGATGTGGGGGGCACGTGATGTGGGGGGCACGTGCGAGGCCGAGGATCACTTGATCATAGTGTAAATATAATTCAGTAGGTGGGAATTTATCGTAGAAGTGAAATAACTATCTTTGTACTCATCATAATAAAACTACTGATTATTCCCACACAAGTTTAGAATATTTATCAGAAGATTTGTATTTATCAAGGAGTGGACATACTACATGCACGCATCCTAACAAAACTTGTTCTAGGAATCTGAAATATTCACAAAGAACACGAACCTGCTGGTCTTATGATAATCACAGATAAGGTTCCTCCAAGACATTAGCTGCTGTTCTTTAGTCTTAGGGATAGGCTGGATTGTGAAGAATGGCGGAAATTCGTACTGCCAGGGCCATTCGTAATCAGCCCCCATACTACGGAGTAAAGTTAAATTATTGTTAAGTCGGTTACTGCAGATAGTACAATAATTTAAAACTAAACCGTTTAAGTAATATAACAGGTATGTAATTATAGATGGGACTGGCCCGAAGTTCAAGCCAATGTTGACTCAAAATATATATGATATTATTATTATCTATCAAAAGTCAAAACTCACACTTGACACTAAATATTGTAAAAAACTATTCAAAATAAAGCTCATAATACAAGCATAGTTGAGCACAGTTAAAGTGGCCTTAAGGATTTGTAAAGTTTTAATCATCTTCTAATAATGCACTTTCTGAGTTGTTAGATAGGAACCAGGTATGTGAGGTATGTAGCTGCCTATTTAAATTTAGTTAGTACGACTGGCCCATGCCGAGGTTGCTGGTGAATTATTGACAGCGTATTTACTACAAATAAAATAATAAATTGTGCATAATATAAAGTTAATGTGTATTATATACATTTCATTTTGCATAACCCTACACTATACATAGTAATACAGTACAATTTTTATATGAAAAAGTACGGTGTTAACATTTTAACTTTTAGAAACATTATCAAATCAGAAATAAAATCAGACATAAAACCACTAAAATCAAAATACTCTTAAAACAACAATCAATCGAGTTAACAAAATTAAAATCAACAACGCAACGATCATAATAATATGATCGTTGATTATTATCGACCAGATTTTAGTGACTGCACAGATTTTTAATTTCATTTGATGACTGTTCTAATCTATTAAAAGTGTGCAAACTCATATTGAAGTTTTTATTTTCAATCCCTCCTTTTCCGTCACTGAGAGTAACGTCCATTTTAATGAAAGGGCTCCCCTTGCTGGCTACCCCCACGATGAATTCCGAGTCCAGCAAAAAACCGCGAGGGGGTAAGCTTATCTTTAAATTAGATAGTTCGTTGAAAATCAGCTCTTTCAGCTGAAATTACAGTAAATAGTTACAGTTAAAACACTTGAAGGAATAAGCCGCAACAATCTTACTAAAATATCAACAGTTGAACTATTCTAGCATTCACAATGATAATAAATTTGAACTTCGGTGTAAACGAATGATCGATCATTTTATAAAGCCGTAGTACATACATAGCTTAAACAATGTAATTTCCTCCAGTCTGCGCAGCGTACGTTTATATAGGCGCGCGGCGCAGACTGGAGGAAATTACACTGTGTAAGCTCGATCCAGTGTAATTTAATATGTATGTACTACGGCTTCAGTAGCATGCCACACATTAAAGACAAACATTACAGTTCAGACCCACCTTAGCAGGGCAAGTAAGTGATAAGGAGAGGTGTTTGTCCAGCACATCAGGATTTGTACTGTGTTTGATAAAGAATGCAGTCAACTCCCCCTCATTCAGCACCATTCCACTCTCCAGGGATACCTCTGAGGTTGGTTACCATGGTTACCATGTTATTATCATTGCATGATACACAGTGAGCCCTAACTTTAGAAAAGGGCTAAGAAGGGCTAGAACAGAATAGACTTAGTTTGTTTAAATTATTGTAAAACTAGAAAACCCGTGGTCACAGGGAGAAAGGTAATAGTATTTTTTGTTAGTAAGTGCACATGTCCGTATTATTTTTCCATTTTTGTTATCACATTTGCCTAGTTTCATTTCGTATTTGTACTTTGACTGTCCAGAGCCGTGATGCTCCTCCAAAATAACAAAATCGTTAGTAAGTTAAAATCGTGTCAAAAAATATCCTACACAACCGAAGATACAGCCAATTAAAATGTTGCTCGCACTAAACACAACGTAATATCAACAAAAATGCCGTTTTAACAATCTTTGCACGTGCACGTGCGTGTTACAACCCTCGTCACTATGGTTACTTTGCAACTTCTTATTTTTCATCTAATTTGCACGTGGGCGGTCGTACATACAGACAGATGTAACAAAAATAATTCTCTGAATTATAGTAGAGACTAGAAAACCCGTGGTCACAGGGAGGACCAGGGAACCTAATAGTATTCTTTGGAAGTCAGTTTTAATTGTGTCACAGAGTATTCATCCCCACCGAAGATACAGCCAAATAAAATGTTGCTCGTACTAAACACAGCGTAATATCAACAAAACCGATTAAAATGACGTTAAAACAATCATTGCACGTGCACGTGCGTGTAACAATCCTCGTTACCATGGTTATTATGCAACTACCTATTTCTTATTTATTTGCACGTGGGCAGTCGTACATACAGACATTCTACATCAGAAATAATTCTTTGAATTATAATAGAGATTAATGAAACATTTAAAAAATCGAATACCTTTCAAATAACTTAAATACCTTTAATCAATACCTTTATAATAATGATAAATACCTTTAATAACGGATAAGAACACTGCGTAACATATTCTGTTCTGCAAGTAGAGACTAGTAGAGGACACAACCAGCTTTTGTTGAAGCTCTGTCAGGCGACCAAGCTGTGACACAACCATTTACTATACAGTAAGTGCTAAGTAGACGGGTGTCAAATTGTGGGTAATTAGAATAATTATGGGTAATTAGAGTAGATGAGTTGAAACTTAGGATCAATTAAATTAATTGCTTACAAGATTTTTGAATATTTAAGGTGTCCTTTATAATAGGCAGTCACAATAATAATATCGCCTATTCAAAATCGTTGTGTCAGCCAATTTTCTGTAATTATGCTTAATTTAATTCATGAAAACTTTAATTATCTGAAGAAATGTAAGATGCATTGGATTTGGTAGAAGGTATAATAATCTACTTTTTTGCTAGGAATTCAATAGTACATGATATTTTACAAATTATTAAACATACTTAAAAAGGTCATCATAACTTAAATCTTACCGAAAGAGTAAGGCCCAGGCAAATTATATTCATAAAACGTTGGTATGTTTTATTTAAACAATTAATAAAATATAAAAATCATGGCGTAATTATCATTACTTATTAATTAAGTCATTATTATTACTTATTAAGTATCATATATTATATATTGTTAAACACCTCAACACAGTACATACTAAAACAAATCTGTGCACTCAGCCAATGTGCATACAAATACTGGCATGTAAATACCAAATTGGACTTCTAAGGAAACTAAGTCGAACTTCGAAAGCTGATGCTGAAATCTCCAAAGCTTAGCTAGCTCTGCAACCACACAAAATACTATCATATTCATGGCCTATGAATTAAGTCTCCTCCGATAGCAAATTTGAAGTTTGCTGCAGGATGAACGGGGCAAGGAGGAGAGCTTTATTTGACGCCTCCTCGACAGCATTCTCCTTGAAAATAAAAAAGTATGTTATCTGTAGATTTATAGGACTATATTAATGCATGATTAGATAAAAAGGTAATAATTAATATTTTAATATACAAAATGCGAACTTTAGTTGCATAAAATGAATACATTTGCATAATATGCGAAGCAGTTAACAAGAATTGCGCCCGTTGTTTCGTTTTGGCGGACGCTAGATTTCCATTTCACATTTACTATAAATTCAAGTATAAGCTCCAATCAGCTCACTTCAATCTTCATGATAATAATATTGATAAATTATGCATCAAATACGGGAAACACTTGAAATTAAGTTCAATTGCCGTAGAACTTAACTTGTATCTGTAATTCAAGAAATTATCAGCAAAGGTAAACTACAAAGGTATACTCGTGTACACATCAATACACTACGTGTGCCACGTACAAATTGAAATTGGGCGTATTACCTAATAGTAATATTATACATTACATGCATCATATACATTAAAACACAGTCGCGCCGCGCATTCATAGATCACAGGCTATCTATACATCACATCTCCGCAAGCAATCCTTGCGCGCGCCCAACTTTTTCGTTGCATGGTAACGAACGGAAGGAAGGACACACGACATATTTAAACCCACCTATCTCATTCTCCAAAATCCACGTTTTTCTGCAAAAACCTCCATTCGTAACCTTTCACTATTGCCTTTTTTAAAAGGGTGAAAAGGAAAAAATACAGTTGTTACTCACCCGGGAAGTAGCAATTCCTTCGAAAGTGTATCCTTGAATAGTTACAATAACAGACACTCTTTCTGCACCAAGTTCTTCCGTTTTAACTTTCATTTCCCCATACCTTTCTTGTAGTCGTAGATGCCCTCCTTTCTTCTCGGTCAACCCACACAAATTAACGATTTCGCCGAGTTTGCATTTAAACTGCTGTTCATTGTTATCTGAGATTTTTGGTTTTTGATCAATGCCACTCGTTGAAACATCCTCCTTTGGAAGCGGAATATCCTCAATATTAATCAAGCCTTTTTCTTCGCATTCATCCAATGTCTTATTGCTGTCTAGAGTAACCGAAGATGTACCAACAGATGCTTGCTCATTGTTAATGACAGTTTCTTCCTTCGTTTTGAAGATATCTTGAAATTTAGCCTCTGTTACATTTCTTAGAGGATCCCATATCTGAAAACTTTGAAGTTTTTGATCGTAGTCGGTCATCTTTTTGACAAAAAACCTGTCATCCAATTTGGGACGTTTTGTTGATCTGTGCTGCTCAGAAAGATACTCATTACTGTACCTCTTCCGTTGGGGAGATTTCACTGATGCACTTTTCTGATCAGCAAGACTCTCGTCACTCCTATGCCGAGAGGACGTTTTCCTGCTACAGACTGATCTTGAGTTGGGTGACTCAGAATACTGATTTTTGTGATGATCATGGCCTTTCACATAGCTTTCTTCACTACGATGACGAAACAATCCTTTTCTACTAGATGAACAATGTGGTTCATACTCATGATCTTTACTTTCAGATCCAACAACACTGTCGTCACTTCTGTGGCGAGATATTCTGGTGGTCGAGGATCTGGGGCCATGCAATTCCAAACGACTGGTATGTATATGTGGAAATGAAGTTCTGGGTTGGTCCACTGTAGTCTTGCAAGAATTTGTGTCATCACTGCCGACAGCTATGTTAGGGGACAATTTCTTTGGAAATGTGTCAAAACGAACATCGTCTTCTGGACTCTTAGTGTTTTGAGGAGTGTCTAAATCTGTGTAATACTTTACACGTGAGAGCTCTTGCTTTGTGAACTCAGGTGTTTGAAAATCATGTAAAACATTAGCTGCCTGAAAATAGCACTGCTGTAATATTAAAATACGAAATATTATAATATACAAATATATAGAGATATAGTTAATAGTTAATAGCACTATGTTTACAGTTTGCACTGGAGGGGTATCCTAGGAAGTTTCTTGAACTTTTAAAAGGTACTCCTCCTAAACTAAATAGCAGAGAATGTTGGTTTGCGACAGTTCACGCTAGATGTCGCCACGATATCTAGCGCTATCAAGCTCTATTAAGCGCTAGATGGCGGAGGATGTCGGTTTGCGATAGTTCAGGCTAGATGTCGCCGCGACATCTAGCGCTAGATCGCGACATTGAAAAGGTGGCAATGTCGCTAACTGACGGTATGTAGCGTAATCTAGCGTAATCTAGCGTCATTTCAATTTTTTTTAAAACTTAGCTCTAAATCTATCTAGACAGTGCTAGATGTCGCCCACAAAAAGGCCAGAAATTCTGTGCAAATAGCGCTAGCTGTCACCTGGCGACAGTGTCACGTAACTACTAATTAGCTTTAAATAATGCTAGATAGCGTCATCTAGCGTCATCTCAAGAAAACAACAATTTTAACGCTATCTAGCGCTAGATTGTGACATTGAAAAGGTGCCACGCAATCGCCGGCATTGTCGCTAATTGTCGCTAACTGGCGGTATCTAACGTCGCGTCATCTAACATTAAATCTAGTGTCATTTCACGCTAGATGACGCTAGATGACGCTAGATGACGATAGATGACACTAGATGACGCTACATGACGCTAGATGACGCTAGATGACGCTAGATGATGCTAAATGACGCTAGATATCGAATTTCAACAATCGGTTAAGGTCCATACATAGAGCATTGTTGATAAATTAATCAAACTGACGCTGCAAGAGAAGTCAAATTCTGAAATAGAATAACTAATAAACAAACAAACCGTTGGGTTAGACTTGATGACTTCTAGCCACTCAGAAGCTTTAATTTTAAGGAATGCAGCAGTCATTGTTCCTACTGGCCACAACTGTTTCTTAGTCATTAACAAGTCGATGAATTTCTGAAATATGTTTAAACTTAAAGTACATTATAATATTATAATATTATATGCTATGTTTGCAGCAGTTAGCAGCAGTTTTTCAGCAGTTGCGCGCAGCGTGCACTGCGCAGTAAAAACATGCATAAAACTGCTGCTAATGCTGCTGTCGCACGCGCTATTTGCAGCAGTTAGCAGCAGTTAGCAGCAGACAGCAGTTTCTTTGCACTTTGGCAACTTATTAAATTAGAAAGATGAACTTATTTAACAATAATTCGGCTGAACTAACACATAGCAGGAGCCACATTAAACGTTGGGACCGTCAAAACAATAAAAACCCGAACTTAGACACCTTTCTGACTGTTCTTATTGAACTTTACATTCATCGTCATCAATAAAATTGCTGAAAATTTGATACTTCATGCTAGTTTTTACATAATGCTGCAAGTTAATTAAACAGCTTAAATGCTCACCTTGAGCCATGTCAATCGGGACTCCTCATTTTCAGTTGCCTTACTAATATATTGGAACTGAGAAGTAACCAGTGCCTTGAACGACAGGGAAATTTCTTGGTTCCACAGACGTTCCACTTCTTCACCCGGCTCTAACTCAATAGCAGAGTTAGAAATTTTAGTGGCCAGGTCTTTAAAACAGAGTTGGTCACACGGAAAAATCTGATGCCTTCTAAAAGAACATCTAAAAAGTTTCTTTAATTTGCCGAATGTTACACTTTTTTTGTGACCACTGTCTGGTATGCCCGAGATTACATAAGAACAGATTTCGTTCAACGAGTATTTGGTTGAACTTGAAAATAAACCAACATCAAGTAATCCATTGATAACATCCTCGTTGTCCATAGCAAATGTTTTAGGACAATATAACTTTCCGTTCTTCAAAGAAGCTCTAAGTTTTTCAACTGCCTCCAATAATGATATCTGGTTTCCTCTATATGGAATTTTATATTTTGCAAATGCAGCTTTGCTGTCTTCTGGTGAGCCATCTTCTGGAGGTAAACACGGTGTACTATCAACATCGTCATAATTAAGAGTAGTGCTGGATGCAGCAGCAATGAACGTGCGCATGGCTGATAGAACATCATTCATAAGTTTAAGAGCAATGTCGAAACCAGAATATTTGTTATTGGGCGAGATTAAATCTGGTAACTGGGACGTTACCACTAACTTGATATTTTATGAATGACAGATGATTTCAGAAGTAAGCACTCATCAGCCAAGTCAAAGATAACTTCTTTGATAATCTCAATTTCTTCCTTGCCGATCTTTTTAATGCTTGATATGCCCCTTTCCAAGCCGGACCGAATGACGGACAGCGCATGCAAAATTTGCTTCACGGCATTCTGTATTTTTCCCTCAGACAAATATCCATTTTCAACAGGCATTCTAATGATAAATCCAACTGCCTTTGATAGACGCGCCAGGTAATCAATCTGACAAGTATTCAAATAAGAATAATAATCCTTATTATCTTTAGGAGGAACTTTTCTGGCTTCTTTGCTAGAGTCCACGTTATTGAAACACTTCCCTTCGCGTTGGGTGTTGATCGGTTCTTGTTTTTGGTCTGCATGAACCATTCCCTCCTTAGGCTGCTTTGACATTTAAGCTATAAGGAGAAGTTTTTATCACCAGGAAAGTGTGATTATAACCTAGATCATAGCATCTAGAATACTTGATGGATTTAACTAGCGATATAAAATGTAATCCCAGAAGACAAATATATAATCAGCTCAGCAGGGCGATTTTGAGATGTCCCTAATTTTTCCTTTGACTCAAGATATGTTGCAAATTGATGGAAAAAATTCACGATGTTTTTGCAATATCAAGGTCGGGCAATACTAATTACGGGTAAACCGCCCCTAAAACGTCACCTGTTTTTTGGGCCCAGATTGCCGAGTTAGGGCTAAATTTACAGGGTTCTGAAGTGTCTAGGAATAATATCTAAACCTTTTTCTAGCCTGCCAGGAAGATTTGGAAATTTGAAAATAAAATCAGGTACAATTTTTTTGACGTTGAAATGGAGTCACTTTGAAATGGAGCCACTTTTAAAACACCACCCCTAAAATGTCAACTCTATATGTGTGATAATTACAAAATGTACAGGAGGCCTGATTCATCTTTTGTCACTAGTACTATTTGTTTTGTCTTATTAAAACATTAAGCTACTTTAAAACATTCACTCACTAAAGGAAGTACCTCAAAACCGTAATCACCCCCTAAAATGTCACGTGCACCACCCCTAAAACGTCGGCAGTATCGAGATAGCCCGACCACTGTCCGCGGACAACTGTCCGCGGACACCTGTCTACCAGATCATATTACTGTAGAAGGAGGGTGATCAACTGCAACTGGAGGACTAGGCTGCAATACATCGGCTGGAGGTGATGGGAGCAAGGATGTTTGTGATCCAACTGGAGGACTAGGCTGCAATACATCGGCTGGAGGTGATGGGAGCAAGGATGTTTGTGATCCTTGCTTTGTAGTTGGGCTAGTGAAGGGTTAGGTTCAGCGTTGTCTCTATCTAGCGTGTCTTGAGGAGTTGGTGGAATGGAGTCCGGGAGTTAATGCTCAGGACAAAGCTTTGTTATCTTTTTTGTAGTAGTATGTAGGATCCCATCGAGGATTGAAGATTCTCGGTGGACATTCATAACAACGCAGTTGTTACATTTGGAGCGGACACGAGGAGCATGAGCAGAGGAGTTAGCAAGACCTCCGGCATCAGAAGATGCTACAGGGTCATGAGCAGCGCATGATATACCAGCATGCCTCTTGTTGCAGAAAAGACACCACTGCTGATTGAAATTCGCGTGCGATGATGTGAACCTTGCTTGATTCAGGGGATACTGTTATTATGCAGTAATATGATCTGGTAGACAGGTGTTCGTGGACAGTTGTCCGCGGACAGTTGTCCGCGGACAGTGGTCGGGCTATCTCGATACTGCCAAAACGTCAGCTAAAACAGGTTGTGTAGCACTCATGTTGCTCAATTATTAATTTTAACCACTTCTGGGACAAATATAACCTATTTCTGAGAGGTGTCGACCAGAATTTCTCTCCAGTGGGGTCTAACAACCCCACTTAGTAAAAATGATTATGAAAATGATTAAAGATGTGTGTGAGCCATGTAGTAGATCTATTAACATCGGACAACCCTTACTAGAGTGTGAAAACTGTAATAATGCCATCCATACTAAGTGTTTCAAAGCAGCTAAATATTCATGCAAAAATGGACTATGGATGTGCTGCGAGTGTGCCAGTTCTGCAGAGGAACGGTACTGTCCATTTCCATCTGATGAGGAATCTATTGATTCTGATAGATTCTATGATAACAGAAACCAGGAGGATGCCTTAATTGCATCATATGCCCTTGTACTTGAACGTTGCCGTTGCTACTCTAAATCCGAATTCTTAAATGCAATCAAGCAGCTCAATTCCTCAAAAAAATCTATGTTATCAACTTTATTCTACAATATAGATGGAAATGCATCTAACTTTGATAGCTTCCTAATTGAACTCAAAAGTATAGGGCACTCGTTTGATATGATTGGTCTTGCTGAAACCAATACTGATCCTGCACAGCAGGGCCTGTACCAAATTCCAGCATACACAGGATTCTATCAAGAAACATTGGCAGGTAAGAAAAAAGGCACAGGCGTTGCACTCTATGTATCTGACCATTTAAACACTGTGGTTTTAGAAAACGTGTCACACTGTACTACAAATATTGAGAGCCTCTTTGTTGAAACCACAGATAGTGCAGGCTGCAAAATTGTTCATGGAGTCATTTACCGACCCCCCAATGGCTGCTTTGATAGCTTTTGTGAAACCCTTGAATTACTTGCAAAGCAGCTAAATGGGAAAACTGTCAATTTGTTGGGAGACTTTAACTCAAACATACTTAATATTTCTACCAGTTCCCAGCTCTTTGAGGATACATTCTACAGAAATGGCTTTTACCCGACTATCTCCATTGCAACACATTTTCGTCAAAACTGTAAAAGTTCCTGCATCGATAACATTTTAACAAATAAAATTGAGAATATAGTCTTATCAGGTGTTATTGAGGAACGGCTTGGTGAGCATGCCCCTATATTTACCTTCACTTCAGTAGAGACCCCTCGCAATACAGAACCTCAGAAACATGTCCGCTATTATGATTACTCGAGTTCCAAATTAAAAAGCTTTGTAACTGAACTTGAAGTGAAGATAAACCAGCTCACTCCTTCAATAGAATTTGATGAGTTTACGGCATGTTTTGACCAGACACTTGACAAACACTGCAAACTGGAGGTACCAAAAGTGACAAAAAGAACTCCCAAACTTAACCCATGGATTACAGACAGTATCATCCAGTCTGTAGAAAGGAAGCATGAACTGCGTAAGGATTGGTCTGACACTGTTACTAATAAGAACCCTGGTGGTAATATATTGCTCTACCAAGTATTTAGTGATTATCGTAGGATGCTCAAAGCTATCATTAAAGCTGCCAAACGTTGGCATTACTGTAACGAAATTCTAAACAACTGTGAAAACAGCAAGAAAACCTGGCAAATTATTAACGAACTCAGGGGCAAAAAGAAGAGGCAAACCAAGCCCCCATTTATCATTGATAACCAAAGAATAGTTGATAGAAGAGCAATTGCTAATGGATTCAATGCTTGGTTTGTCTCTATTGCACCAAAGCTTAATGAGACACTGAATAATCTATCTAATGGCCTGCATATATTACCCATGAAAACTTTCTATGACTTCCTGAACCCAAGAAATGAAAAAAATATTAGGCTAGAAGATTGCTCCTCGAACGAAATATTGAAAATCATAAGCGAGTTCGAAAATGGTAAAGCCAGTGACATTCCCATAAGTGTAGTAATAAAGTCATCTCATGTAATTGCACCTGTATTGTCGAATTACTTCAATATCCTTATGACCCAAGGTATATTTCCTGATGTCCTGAAAACTGGTAAAATAACACCTGTATATAAGAAAGGTAACCCAGAAGAAATCGAGAACTACCGTGGCCGTCCTATCTCCACACTGTCCGTCTTCGGTAAGATCTTTGAAAAGCTCATATATTCTAGAATATACGGATTTGTTAGCTCCCAGGGAGTTATATCGAAGACACAGTTTGGATTTAGGAAATCTCACTCTACATCTCATGCAGTTAATTACTCTGTAGATTTAATTACGAAATCTCTTAAACTTAAGAATCATGTTTTAGGAATATTCATTGACCTAAGCAAAGCTTTTGACACCATCGATCATTCAACACTTCTTATAAAATTAGAGGGATGTGGAGTGAGAGGAGTTGCAAATAACCTCATAAAAAGCTACTTGACAAACAGGCAACAATACACCGAAGTTGTAGGAGAAAAATCAGATACCCTATCTATTCAATTTGGTGTCCCGCAGGGTTTAATTCTTGGACCTCTCCTTTTTCTTCTTTATATGAATGACATCACAAACAGTTCTAAACTAGGATCATTTGTTACCTTTGCTGATGATACCAATATATTTGTTGTCGGCAAAACAAAACGTGAGGCATATGAACGAGGAAATGAGCTTCTGTCATCATTACAGTCTTATATGAGAGCGAATAAGTTACATATAAACATGTCCAAGTGCTGCTACATACACTTCAAACCCACCATGGCAGGTTCTAAATCAGAGATTTTATCACACCCTGAAGTTGTACTAACTATAGACAACTTTCCAATCAAAAAGGTTTCATCCGCAAAATTTCTGGGTGTTATAATTGACGAGAACCTATCATGGGAAGATCACATCAAAGCTCTTAACTTCTTAAGCGAACTCTAAATCATTCCACATCCACTTTATGTAGACTCCGCTGCTCCCTTCCAGAATTTCTACACCAACAATTATATTATACCCTGTTCGAATCACATCTTTCCTACTGTATATCTGTATGGGGTGGGGCAGCGAAGCAACGTATAAGCTCATTATTTACTGCTCAGAAGTACTGTCTCAGAGTACTATTTGGTGATAGACTGGCGTACCTTGATAAGTTTAAGACTTGTGCACGTACTAGGCCTATAGGACACCAGAAACTAGACCAAAAATTCTTCATAAAAGAGCACACCAAACCGATATTCAAGCATAATAATATTCTAGCTATACAAAATCTATATACATACCACAGTTACCTCGAGCTCTACAAGATAATGAAATTCCGTGCTCCAATATCCTTACATGAGGGTTACACAATATGTTCATCAAGGAAACCCTGCCTTCTAATCTGTCAGGCAGACCCACCTGACAATCACAACACTAGATCAACCAAAATTTTTTACATCTTAACCCCAAAGTTCAGAATGACTGATTTTACTACTAGTGTAATGTGCCTGCGAGGAAAGCTAAAACGTGCGCTACTAGCTAATCAACATAACCACGCCCTGCTTGATTGGACCGTAAAAGACTTTGACTGCACAAATATTATTTTCCAAACATTATAACTGGCTGGTCACACACATCTAAATTAAATTACCCTAGGCTACTGTTTTCTAAGTCTTGTCCTGTGAGTAAAGTACGTGTGAGAAAGTTTTAATAAAATGAATGTATATTTTTGAATTTTTAAATTTTAATTTGAGA